TACAAACAAAAATGCAAATGTTTGTGGAAGAATGTGTACTGCCGTGTTTCTCTTCTGTTTGTTACAGACAAAAACAGAAGGAGACAACAGGATATGAGAAGAGACCAACTCCTGCCAGATGCACTAAACGTGTGACAACTATCCTAATGATAATGATGATGATGATGTTGGACGACTCCATCTTGCGAAACACCCATGCTAGGTGTGCGGACTACTGCCAGCGTTTGCAACACCATCCACAACCCTCCGGGCAGATGGAAAGAATGAACTGGATGATAAAGGAGAAAATACTAACAACTGAAGGTTGCCATATTCACAGCTTGTAGAGCAAGTGCCGCTGTCGGGTCATCAGGGCAGCAGGGGAATTTCTCCCACAGGGTTTCGCCCCTGCCTGTGAATATGGAACATGTTTACAAAAGCACTGTACAATCAAGGATGATTTAAAAATGTACAAACCACTATACGATCAATGCAAGTGATGATCATTAATGTTTGATTTATGATCAGACGGGGGAATTGTTAGATTTCAGTGGTTTTCACATTTGGTTGGGTCTGCAGCAGGAAGCTGCTAAGACACCAAAATGCTTTCCCGAGCACACACAGTCACATAGCCCCACACATTCAAAGAGAATTTCCCCAAATTCTCTTCACACCAACTTTCTAAAACACCTCTACCCCCTGGGAACAATGGGAGATCTTCACACAACAATGGGAGATCTCCCAATCTACCTTCTCACAGGGAACCCCGAAGCCATCCATTCCTTTTGATTTACATGACCACCTGTGGTTGACTGGACTTTATGGCTCCGTCTACCTCCCTTGTGATAACCCCCCACTGAGCAACAAAAGGTTCTTCCAACACTGCTGAATCATGGAACAAGAGTGCCACATAGTGGCGACTGCAGGCATCACATGATAACAAGAACAATAATATGATTGGCCACAAGAGGCCTAGCCTCTCTCTTCCATTGGCCTACAAGATTTAAACACACACCCGGGAAGTCGAAAACCACTCCCCCCATACAGGTATATAAGCATAAACAACTAACGATACTTTAGAAGTTATTCTTGAAAAGTCTTGAGAAGTCAGAAGTTATTCTTGACAGGATTTGCGTATTAACTACTGTTGTACGAGATTTCCTTGAATACTTCTCCAGTTGTTTATTTTGCTTTATTGTTGGACCTGTTTTGTTTGATGTTTGTTATTAAAACAAATCGACCATCTACCGGCTGCTTCCACTCCTTGCCTGAAGACACCTCACACAGCAAGAATCTTTCAGTGTTCACTACTGTATTTCTCAGTTGCAGATGTTTCTTCAGACGGAGCTAAAATGGCGGAGCTTTCTAAAGAGTCCTCAGGTGTGGGCTTTGGTCTTGAAGGACAAAAGTCTTTAAAATGTGGAAACAGACCTCTGCTGGTGAACCGCATTTCTAAAGGTGACCTGTTCTCCATAAGTCTGTGAGAAAGTAGATATTAGAGGTAAATGCCTGTCCATGGAATCACATCATGTTACGCTGTTGTGTGTTATTCACATCCTGTGTGTAAAACGCCTGATATTTAAGTGAATGTGAGATGAATATCTTTCCTTTGCCTTTTGTTTTGATTAAATGAGACACTGATGCTGTCATTGCTGTTATAGCTGACATAGCACTGTCACACCAGAAGATACAATTGGTTAGAGAATGCCAAAGTTTTTACGTCTTCAGTAGGTCTGATTTACTTCCACACTGCATTTTTGAAAGCAGACCAAAAACTCTGGACAACAGTTGCAACAGCTCTCCACCTGAGGGGGGGGCTCTCGCTCCACTTATTATTAACAGGGACTGTGTGGAGAGTCTCCTCCATGAGGTATCTGGGGGGTCCACCAACACATCAGCAGTGGTTCAAAAGGCTGAACCTTCTCGGGTTACTGAGGAAAAACCACTTGGAGGTCAAAGTGCTGCTGACCCTCCATCAATAATAGAACAACAGTAGAGAGTGTTCAGGTGCAGGGCATCACATTGGGAGACCCTGACTGCACAGCAGCAGACAGGAAAGTCCTGCAGTGAGTGATAAAGACAGCACAGAAAATCATCAGCTGCCCTCTGCCCTCCCTGCAGGACATCCCCAGGTCCTGGCATCTCACCAAGACAAGGAAAATCCAGTCTGACGTCTCACACTCTGGTCTGAGTCTCTTTAGCCTCCTGCGTTCTGGCAGGAGAATAAAGAGAATAAGAAGCAGAACAAATCATTTAAAAACATGACACTGCCTTGTATTCCAAGCCTTATAGTATTGCTACCTTTGTACATGTTGGAAGAATTTAATTTATTATCATTGCTTCATGCTGTACTGTCGCTTTAAGGAACTGTTTGCTTCTCATATTATAATCTAGTGTGCTCAAGACTGATGGAGAAATTACCAGACACAGCCACACCCCCATTCACACCCACCTTCTTACTCCATACCCATTCATATACTCACACACGATCACATGATATGTAATCTGATACTTTTGTAAACTAAATAAAAGAGCAGAGGAAGGGTGCAGCAACTCGGAGTTGATGAGGAAGCTGCCAGCAGAGCAAGCTGCACTCTCCCCTTGCAAGTAAAAGATCCAGACGTCTTTTGTGTTGTTACTTTGTCGTCACATATGTTAGAATAAACCTAACAGTACACCTGCATGTTATTATGTGTATTTTTTTTTTATTACTTTAAGGTCTCTTTTTATTTATGTATGTGTGATACTGACTTCTGTTGAAACATTGTTGTGCAGATCTGTCTTTCAGTGTGCAGTAGGGAGGAGCTTGAGACACTCTGTTGTGTAATCCATGGTTATACAATGACAAAAAAGTAGGGATGTCCAATAATATTGGCCTACCGATATTATAGGCCGACATTAGCATAATTATATAAAATCTGCAAGAATCGTTATCAGTGTTTCCTCTGATAATAAAAACCTGATAACGCAATTCCTGGGTTAAGCCAAATGATGTGTGTTCTAAAAATTGTTTTAGGATAAACGGCTGTATATAAAAGTGAAAGTCACTAGATGGCAGCATTGTAGCTCATTTTATTCATTTATTTTAAGAATCAGGGGATTGTATGCAGAATGATGGTGCCAGCAACACAATACAGTGGTTTCCACAGGTAAACAAATAAATATTTTTACCAGGCCTGTATTGGTATTGGTTGATGTTGGAATCGGAAATTAAGTATTTGGAAAATATCGGATATCGGCAAAAAGTTAATATTGCTAAATGTAATCTCAATTATATTCTTTTCTATTCTATTGTCACTACTCCACATCTGCTCATGAGACATTTTCCAACCTTTTCCTTGTTTACCTCCGCTTCACCGGTTCCACATTATTGTGTTGTCATCAAGATACACTGCACTTCCAGTCACTTCCTCTCTTTGTTTTGCTCAACAGTCTGTTTGCGCTTCCAGCTTTGAGCAAATAGCACTCAGGTCCAGTAGTGAGTAATATAAATCCACTATTTTAGGCTGACCAGAGTTTGGAAATTAGCTTTTCTAACTGCCCAAACAAAGGAGTGGTGTGAAAATGTCCTGAGAGCAAAGGAAAAAACGACTTGTCAGTTTTTTGTTTGTTTGTTTTTTTTCCTATTTTTGACAGACTATGCTTTTTATCTCTTCACATGCTCAAACTACTGTTACAAGTGAAATGAACCTACACCTACACTATTAGTACTGAGCAGAGGCTCTGTTCAGTGGCAAAGGACAGAACAATAGTCGGTACAAAACAATGGAAACAGTTATTTGGCTTCCTGTACCAACCTCTGCAGGGCCTAATGCACCAGGATGATGAAGGACCCAACCAGCTCCTCATCAACAGGCAAAGAACCAGACTTTAGTAAACACATCAACAAAAACTCCTTCAGCTGTTCGTCGAAGAAGTCGATAGCTGTTGGATTTGTTGTTGAAGACATTTAAGACCTCCTGCAAAAAAACTCTTTAATCCTAAAGAGAGTGAATCATCTTGAGCATTTAGAGACCTGTGAGAATATATAAAGACAATGGAGAAGCTCTCAGAAAAGAGAATGTGAAGTAGATCATGGACAAACAGCTGCGATGGGAACACTATCGTCACAACGAAATGTGACCTCTGCATTTAACCCATCACCAAAGTGAACAGTGGGCAGCTTTTTGAGTGCCCGGGGAGCAGTGTGTGGGTACAGTGCCATGCTCAGAGCACCTCAGTGGTAACTTGGCAGCTGGTGGATTTGAACACCTTCCGAACCCAAGTCCACTTCCTTAACCACTAAGCCACAATTGCCCACTGACTTAGAGAGAACACTCCAACAACTTTTCAACCAGGATCACCACCATGGTGTCCACATCACAGTTATAGTTCAGATTGCTCTTGGAAATAATACCTGTGAGCAATGGAGTATTTAGTTGTATTGCCTGAAAGTGTGATTTTTGTGTGAATTTAAATTTGTGCGTGCGATGTGCGAGGGTGTGTGAGTTTGTGTCACAAATGATCGCTAAAGGTCAGTAGAAATGCACAGACAAACGACTGTGCCCGAATTTGGAACAGATTTATTATTGTGAATATTTGTCTTAATAAACTGCTCAGTGGTGTTCTTTATACACAATGTTTTAACTAAGAAATATGACATTTGGGATATGTTTTTATATAATTATACACAAACTGTATGTGCAGTGGATGTAAAGCAATGGCATCTAGATATTGTTTTTAACCTTTGCTTTCATCTTTAATGAGATCCATTATTGGTTTGATTAAAAGTCATTCAAAATATAATAAACATGGTTTCTCTTTACACATGTTCATTCCTATGTTTTGTTTTAACAACTTTTGAACTCTTCAAAGCTAACCCCAGAATTTGATTGGAATAAAGTCTAGGATGGGTAATTTCAGTGGTTCTAAACCTGTGGTAGGCATATCATTGGTGGTACTTTGGGAATCTTTTAACTGCATTGGCAAAGTAGTGGAGGTAGATAAAATGAAGATCTGAAGATGTCAGAAAGTGTGGAAATATTACCATTAAAAGCGGCTCTGCAGTGACAGGAGTAGACCAAAGTGAACATCCTAAACCTAGTACCAGTATGTGTACATGTATGTGTGTGGTTTCAGAGTTTGATTGATTTGGTTGTCTGGCTTTTGCAGATAAATAGTCTGATGATCTTATTAGGTTTAAATTCTCTTGCTGCTACTAAGACAGACAGATATTTCCAGAGATGGTATGTGGTGTAAAAAGTTTAAAAACCACTAAATAATTTAAGTTTATTATTATTTTTTGTCCTTTTTGCTTTGGTTTAGTGTCATTAAAATCAGAAATTCCACAATCCAGAGTTTTACTTCATTTTGTCCAAATAAAATAAACAATTACAAAATAAACATTTTCCAACACTGTGTCATGTTTACGAAACTGTGAAAATCTGTGATTGAGAACTTCTCATGATACTGGCCTAAGTGTTAAAACTTATTCTTGCAAACAACAGTTGCCTCCTGGTGGCTACCAGGTAATTGTAAAAGGTATGATTATATCTGAAATTTTCACACTTCACTGCGTCCACAGCTGAACGATGTCATTACATGACAAGGTGCTGACTTCAAGTAATTTTCATGTAATGAATGTAAGGTTTTAAGTGGAACGAGTGCTGTGGAAAACATTGGCACGCACGTCAGAAAATTCCACTCCACTAGCAAACAAAATGTGTCTTCTGAGAGACCTGGGGCCTGATGTACTAAACGTGCGTAGATTTCATCGTGAAAAAGGGTGTACGCAAAAATCCAGAAACTGTCGTGGGTACGGAAAAAATTCTGACGCATCAAAGTGTGCGTAGGCAGGAATCCAAGTACGTTTCATTTGTACATCCCAATCAACGTGGAATTAACCCTTATATTATGTGTGTCAATAAAACGAGCCTGAGTTTGTGGAGAGAGCAGGATTCAGCAGTCAACCCCCTGACTCGCCGCTGGACCCTCCCTGTGCACAGGCGAACTCGAGCAACGACTTTTGTCTTTTCTTTATACTTTGTGAAAGTTCTTGATCAACGAATCCGGGGTGGTAAAACCTTACCACAACAAGATCCAAAATAAACATGCCTGTTTGTTGTACTTTATTTTGACTGCCCAGTTAGTTGTAGTTTAAATGCCAGAGACCCACATGTGTGTCGAGGAGGGACTTTCTCTCCCTTGTCCTTGTCACTTTTCTCATGCCATCTCTTTGACAAACACACCAAAAATGAGCTCCAGAAGGTTTACAGCTGAAGAAGCTTCATCACATATTTTGATCTTGGATAGTGATGTAGAGGAAGAGATTTCAGAGACCGAGGACAATGTAATTGATAATCCAGATTGTCAATTTTCCGACAATGAGGAGGATTCAGAGGAGGAGCCTGCCATTGTGTCTCCATTGGCTGAAAGCCAAGGAATGCAGCAATCATTATCCACAGAGGGGACATAGGCATCTAAAGATGGTAATATAAAATGGTCACCACACCAAAGTCGATGTAGACTGTCATCTTCCAATGTTATCAAGATGACTCCCGGTACTACAAGATTTACTGTCACAAGAGTTGATGATATTCAATCAGCATTTCAGCTATTTATATCCCCACCAATAGAGAAGATTATAATGGAAATGACCAACTTGGAGGGGAGGCGTGTATTTCAGGAGAAATTGAAGCCAATGGATCAGACTGACTTGCATGCTTACATTGGAATTCTGGTACCAGCTGGAGTGTACATCTCAAAGGGGGAAGCAACTGGAAGTCTATGGGATGAAGCGGCAAGGTGTGTTATTTGGTCACTTGTTCGCAGGTGTAAATATGAAAAGAAAGTGTTAGTGTTTGTGTGTGTGTGTGTGTGTGAGAGAGAGAGAGAGAGAGACTATAAATGCTGTTGGTCCGCGCACCGCACACACAAAGGCAAAAAAAAAAAAAAATCCGAGATGATGGTGGATGTGAAGTACACGGCATCTGCCCCAGTCATGCTGTCACTTTGAATGAGTCATGTGTTGAACACCGAGCCACAAAGTTATGAGCTGGATTTGTGCATCACATATAATTGTCACATTGATGGAATGGACATCGTTCCGATGAACAGAAAACAAATTGGTTTTGCGATTGTTGTGTGTGTGTTCAGTCAATAACTCCCATTACTTTAGGGAAACAGCTCTTCCATGTTGACCTGTTCAACAGCATTGTATGGGACTTTGTTGTCGGATGATTCCGTCCCACACGGTTGGCATGGCTCAGCTCACCGTTGACTGGGACACTCCGGAACAATCGTCCCGGTGTTGTGAAGTTTTTTCCTACCTATAGATTTTCCTGTTTCCAGTTTGAATAGCTAATACTGCGAATTATCGTCATTTTCATGTAGTCATAAAACTTGCTCATTTAGCTTCCGAATTGTCCAGCTGTTTTAAAACAGTATCTGACTAAATTAGCGTCATTTTCATGTAGTCATAAAACTTGCTCGTGTAACTTATGTGTATGCAATTCGAATGTCTAATAGCGCTGTGATTTTCTAGCTGTTTTAAAACAGTACCTTACTAAATTAGCACAGAATTTACAGTATTGCACAACCTTGTTTACAAGTCTCTGATATTGGCTTACAGACTTGGATGAAAGTGTATGGGCCCATGACATTTTACCATGAAATTAAGTATTTCTTCCATTGTGTAAAAATAGGAGTATTGTTCCGGTTTGTTGTTGTTGTCTAGGAACGGATTTGGGAGACGCACCGTCATGAGAAATGCAGCAACTGAGAGCTGACAGTGTTTAAGAGTTGAATATAAATAAAAGGCAATGTTGGAAACTATAGAAGTTTCTTTATTCATTCTGAGGTAGGAGACAACAGAGCGAAACACTGTGTTATTGAGCGCTACACATGTTTTGGTAGGTATTGTAGCGACCCCGAAGTAATGTTATAGTGTTATAATGTTCATGATAGAGTTCTGTGATTTCCCAGGGTCTGTGAATGTGTCTGGATGAATGCAAGAGCAAAGGGGCGGGGGAACAGGTGAAACAGAGAGCGCCTGGCTGAGGGAGAAGTGTGGATTAGTGATGGGAAGACCGACTCTTTTTACTGATTCGGATCTTTGACTCTCGAACAGTAAAATTAACGAGTCGTGAACGAATCTTGAACTAATCATTTCATTCGTTTTACAGCAGGTGGCGCTTTAGCCCTATTGTGGGCGTTGTAAAGAAGGCTGCGGTTCTCCGACACTAAATACTGAATGTAACATGGTTTGCTTCCACTGACAAAGTCTACAAATTACACAAAATGCCATAAGCTATTAAAACCATGCAAAAAGCGAAGAAATAAAAACACACCACAATGTGAAGATGAATGAGAGCAAAAGAGACTCGAGCTCTCTGTCACGTGACAAATTAAACGAATCTGCGAGGATGAAGCGAAACATTAGTTAACAGAGAGTGATTCGTTCATAGCGAAAAATTAGTTCACAGCGACGGATTCGTTCACAGGGAGTGATTCGTTCATAGCGAAAGATTAGTTTACGGCGAAAGATTAGTTCACAGCGAAAGATTAAGTTTAAAAAGTTAAGTTTAGTTCACAGGGAGTGATTCGTTCATAGCGAAAAATTAGTTCACAGCGACGGATTCGTTCACAGGGAGTGATTCGTTCATAGCGAAAAATTAGTTCACAGCGACGGATTCGTTCACAGGGAGTGATTCGTTCATAGCGAAAGATTAGTTCACAGAGAGTGATTCGTTCACAGTGAAAGATTAGATCACAGAGAATGATTAGTTCACAGCGAAAGATTAAGTTTAAAAAGTTAAGTTTAGTTCACAGGGAGTGATTCGTTCATAACGAAAGATTAGTTTACGGCGAAAGATTAGTTCACAGCGAAAGATTAAGTTTAAAAAGCTCTGTAAGGCAACTGGACGTGATTTTTTTAAAAGAAGACGTTTCACCTCTAATCCAATATGTACGATATGTGGACGACACTCGGGTCAAGATCAAGGTCCATGAGGTCGACAACTTCACAGACCACATCAACGCAGTGGACAGGAACATCAAGTTCACCAGAGAAGATGTGAAAAACAAGTCTTGCATTCCTGGACTGTGCAGTTCACATCTCAGAGGACAGACAACTCAACATAGAGGTGTACAGGAAACCAACCCACACCGACAAGTACCTCCGTTTTGACTCACACCACCCACTGGAGCACATATTAGGAGTCATCAGAACCCTACAGTCACGGGAAGACACCATTCCCACCACCAACAGAGGTAAGATGAGAGAACAGGGACACATTAGGACAGCTCTCGAGACCTGTGGCTATCCCAGATGGGCGTTTTTAAAAACAAACAAAAAGAGGCCCACAAAGAGGGAGGACAACAGGAGGAGGGGAGAGAGGGGAGTGATTCGTTCATGTCGTCATTCCATACATTTCAGGAGTTTCGGAAAAACTTAGGAGGATCTTTAACCAACACCAAATCCCCGTACATTTCAAACCTGGTAACACCCTAAGACAAAAACAGGTTCATCCCAAAGACAAGACTCCAAGGAACAAGCTGGACAATGTGGTTTATGCCATTCAGTGCAGTGAGGAGTGTACTGACCTGTACATTGGGGAGACTAAACAACCGCTACACAGGCAAATGGCCCAACACAGGAGGGCCAACTCCTCAGGATAGGACTCAGCTGTTCACATACACCTCAAAGACAAAACCCACTCCTTTGAGGAAAACAATGTACACATTTTGGCCATGGAAGACAGGTGGTTTGAGAGAGGGGTAAAATAAGCCATTTTTGTCAACCTGGAAAAACCATCACTCAACAGAGGAGGTGGACTCAGACACAACCTATCACCCACATACAAGGTTCTCTTAGGAACAATACCCAAAAGATTCTCCTCAATTTCACACATCAAAGAGGCATGTGACCGAAACCAGTCTGATGAGGATCGCAACGACCCATCGGACTCCTAACGCACTTCCCCAGTTGACCCCAACGGCCCACCCAACAGGGGGGAGCTGAAGTAGCTTTATTCTTTGTCACACCCAGAGTCTATATTTGCTGTACTCCCCACCACCAGTTAGAACTGAAGAAGCCTCTTGGATTAGAGGTGAAACGTCTTCTTTGAGAAAATTCACGTCCAATTGCCTATCAGAACGTGACCATGACCTGGATGACTGAGAATCTTCATAGCGAAAGATTAGTTCACAGGGAGTGATTCGTTCATAGTAGTGATGGGAAGACCGACTCTTTTTACTGATTCGAATCTTTGACTCTCGAACAGTAAAATGAACGAGTCGTGAACAAATAATTTTATTCGTTTTACAGCAGGTGGCGCTTTAGTCCTATTGTGGGCGTTGTAAAGAAGGCTGCGGTTCTCCGACACTGAATACTGAAGGCAACATGGTAGGCTTCCGCTGACAAAGTCTACAAAGCACACAAAATTCCATAAGCAATTAAACCATGTGAAAACATAAAGAAAAACACACCACAATGTAAAGATGAATGAGAGCAAAAGAGACCCGAGCTCTGTCACGTGACAAATGAAACGGATCTGCGAGAACGAAGCGAAAGATTAGTTCACAGAGAGTGATTCGTTCATAGCGAAAGATAAGTTCACAGCGAAAGATTAGTTCATAGTGAAAGATTAGTTCACAGAGAGTGATTTGTGAGTGATTCGTGAGTTCAATATGAACAAATCTTTCATATAACTCGGGAGTCGCGAGTCATATGAAAGATTCGTTTATGTCGAACGAATCACTCGCAAACGACAAATCACTACTGTGGATGGAACACGGCACATGAGTTGAGTTGATGTGTGAGACCGGGATTGTTCTGTTGTTTTGGCGTGGTTACCACCGACAGTAACCAAGTTCTGTAATCAAACAGAACTCTGTAATCAAACGTTTAGCAATAAATGCAGAAAGTTTTTTTCAAGATGGCAGCGCTCTGTGCGGCAACTTCGGCTCCCGGCTACACAGCCAAAACATCGCTAGATTGAAGAGAACATTGTTTTCTATAGTAAAAACTAAGCGAAACTGCGCTAGAAGTATATATGACCGTAAAGTTATACTAGGTTTAAGCAAGTTCGGACAGTTGGACTACGTAAAGTTAGAGACGCGGAGCACTCTACAGAGCCTTGGTCTTCTACGGCGGTCAGACCCAGCGGCCTACACAACAGCGGAGTCCCCTACCAGCACATGGCCGTCCACGGAGTCACCGGTGGCTCTTCCCTCCATTCTGCTTGCCAACGTACGTTCCATAGAATACCAACTGGATTACCTTAAAATGGACTTAACACTGGACTTGGTCTACATCAACATCAAGAAGGCCTTCAGAGCAGCCCCCCGCCCCCACCTTGGCTCCTCAGACCATCTCTCTGTTATGATAATTCCAGCATACCAGCCCCTGCTCATCGGAGAAAAGTCTGCTGTGAAGAAGGTAAGAGTGTGGCCTGAGGGAGCTATGTCTGCACTGCAGGTCTGTTGGACCTGATCGTCCCCACATCCAGGAAGTAGCACATAGATGCTGTTTAGCCAGAGCTCACCAGGTTCACTCTGACCCCACCCACCCCCACAATGGTTTGTTCACCCTGCTGGCATCAGGCAGGAGGTTCCGCAGCATTCGCTGCAGAGCAACAAGATTCAAAAACAGTTTTTCCCCTGGCCATCAGGCTGTTAAATACCCATAACTGCCCACAGTCTGTCTTTTAATGAAAAAATCAGGTGCAATACTATTGTGTAAGATTACTGAGCAATTAAGTGCAATATCACTGTGCAATATTTCCTGTTCAATTTCAGTGAATCAGCTCCAGCACTATTACTAGTTATTCCTGTTTACATTTGTCACTCCATACTGTTTATATTGATAGTTGTATGTACCTTACAGTTTACCTCAACACACTTCTGGTTCAAGGTTCTAGACCCACAGTCAATGCACATTGGAAATCTTGTGTGAGTCAACAGTTTTGTACAAACATTTTGTTAAAGAAAATAGAGGTAGGAAATATAAAGAATGATAAAATATAAAGTATAGAGTCTAGAATAAAATATACAATATAAAAAAACACTGTACATCAATGGTAAGGCATTATTGTCAAGAAGTGGATTGTATATGGGAAATACAGTCGTAGCCTCAAGTACTGACCAGCAGGACAGGACAATGTTGGAAACAAGTGATAAATAAGCAGCATAAGTTGTATTTTACAGATAGTGTAGTTCAGGGAATATTAGATTAGATGGGGGGTGTAGGAGATGGAGATAGAGAGAGACACAGGGGGAAGGTAAACAGAGAGGTGGGGCAGAGAGAGAGTATTGCACTATTAAGAGTATGCACATTTTATCATGGAACTGTACATTTAACATTAGAGGGAATTGCACATTGACTGACAGTGAATCATTATTGCAGCGGCATGAGTCTTATTGCACTTTATATTGCACAGTATTGCTTTGATGAGGTGTTTTTTAATTTCCATAGTATTTTTTATTTGCCATCATTCTAACTGTGGTCAGGAAAAAGCTGTTAAAGAAGCGAGTTC